TTTGGCACTTTGGGAGGCTGAGGCAGATGGATCACAAGGTCTGGAGTTCAAGACCAGCCTGGCCAACATGGTGAAACCCCATCTCTACTAAAAACACAAAAAAATTAGCTGGCCATGGTGGCAGGTGCCTGTAATCTCAGCTACTCAGGAGGCCGAGGCAGGAGAATTGCTTGAACCCCAGAGGCAGAGGTTGCAGTGAGGTGAGATCACACCACTGCATTCCAGCCTGGGTGACAGCAAGGCTCTGTCTAAAAAAAAAAAAAAGGGATCACCGTGGGGAAGCTCCAGACAGACTGGAACCCTGTATTCAAGCCCACTGTCGCCTTGCCTTTCTCAGGCCTTGGGCAAGCCTGAGTCCCTGTGTGGGCCTCAATCCTGCTACGCCTTGAGATCTGGGGCCCTTCTCGCTCATTCCAAGGCCTACGATGATCAGCCACTAGGGGGTGCTGCGAGCACGGGCCTTGGCCGCCAGCTCGCCCCGCGCCTCCAGACCCGTGGCCTGGGGCTGCAGCTGTTCCGGCTGCCCGGCGGTCAAGGCCTGGAGGGGTGATTTGCTGCTGCCAAGGCCCCATCCTCCCTGGTGCCCCACAACGGCTCGCCGCTCTCCCTTGGGAGTGGCCGATCCCCTTCCCACAGGCGCTGCGGGAGGAGGGCGGTCTCTCCCTGGCAGCCTTGTGGACACCTGGTGTGGGGGGAGGAGGGTCTGAGTCACCGCAGCTCCAGCCTCAGCGTGGTGTGGCCTTGGGAGGCTTGTACTTTGCTTGGGGCAGAGGATGAAAAGGCCCTTTATCATTCACGACAGGAGCCTAAACCTAGTCTCTGACGTCCTGCACCTCCAGCCAGCCCTGGATAAACAATGTGAGTTGTTTCAAACCGAGCGGGATGTGAAAGCTGGGATTCAGGGAATCCTAGCCTGCGATCCGGCGGACCTTGATGCTGGGGTCCAGGGGTTGGGGACCGGTGTGAGGGTGGAAGGCAGCCTGGCTGGGGTAGCTGTGGCTACATTCGCGGCAGGATCATTTGCAGTCCGCCACCACCAGTAGGGCACGTGGTGCCAGGAGCTCTGCTGCAGGGGATGTGCGCAGCAGTAATGCCAAACCAGCAGCTTGATGAGCGTGGTCTGCGCAAGCCGACAGGTCACGCTAAGCGCCGCGGGCTGACGTGTGGTGCATTCGGCGGGGCCCGAACAGAGGGCCCAGGCCTACCCAGACCGATGTGAGGTGGCACTAGGCGAAGTCCAGACAAATGCGCAGAACGCGCGTCGTCGCCTCCTGCGGCTCCCGGGAGCCGCCGCTGGCGTTGCGCTGCCGGGCTGGCAGGGCTGGCAGTGGCAGCGCGGCGACCCCCGGGGCAGCTGGCCGTGGTAGCGCTCCACGCCGTCGGCCAGCCCGCGGCTTGGCGTGTCCTGCTGCACCAGCCCTGGGTCCGTCACCGCGCTTCCTCCGCAGTCATCCAGGAGAGGTCTCTAGGAGGCGCAGCAGCAGCAGCTCTGGGTGCACGTGTTTCGACCTGGCCTCCCACCGGTGGTCGCCGGCCGCCCACGACAAAGCTGGGGGGCTGCGCCGGGCAGGACGGCCGGCCGTGGATCGGCTGCAAGTCTGTGTCCTACAGAATTCCAGGCACTGGGAACCACTCCGAGGGCGCAGTGTCCTTGTTCTCTGCGTCGCGCACGAGGTTCAGGGCCGCAGCTAACCAGAAGCAGCAGGAGTGGATGGAGGAGATGGCACCAGGCGCAGCCAAGATGTAGGGCCATGATGGTCTGTTTACCCCAGGACCACGCTCTTTATGGTCGCTTGGTCCTTTCTCCGTCCCTCCACCTCCGCTCTCATATCAGCTTAGCCTGGCTACTGCTGGGAGCTCTTCGCCCTAGACCAAGACGGACCCTGGGGAGATCCCAAGGGCCAGGAGGACAAAGTATCATGAATCTCAGGTGCTTTTCAGCCCGTTCCAGGGTTCAGGCATGCACATTCATCCAGGCTTCTGGGAGTCTAAAGGTGCGTTTCTTTCAGACAGTGATTGCAGCTCTGTCAAAGGTTCTAAAATCCCACCAAGCTGAGTGTCTTTATTCAGGGATCATAAGAGTCTATGGCCACGTGCGGTGGCTCATGCCTTTAATCCCAGCACTTCGGGAGGCTGAGGCAGGTGGATCACCTAAGGTCAGGAATTCAAGACCAGTCTGGCCAACATGGTGAAACCCTGTCTCTACTAAAACAAAAAATTAGCTGCATGTAGTGGCAGGCACCTCTGATCCCAGCTACTCCCAGCTACTTGGGAGGCTGAGGCAGGAGAATCCCTTGAACCTGGGAGGCAGAGATTGCAATGAGTCAAGATTGAGCCACTGCACTCCAGCCTGGATAAGAAGGCCAGACTCTGTCTCAAAAAAAAAAAAAAAAAAAAAAAGTCTACAATTCAGTTGTGCAATTTAATTCTGAATTATATTCAATCCAAAGCCAACAGACTTTGGGGGCAAAACACAGAGGGCGATTCATTTCTGAGGTCAGGAGTTCAAGACCAGCCTGGCCCACATGGTGAAACCCCCATCTATAAAAATTAGCCAGGTGCGGTGGTACACTCCTGCAATCCCAGCTACTTGGGGGCTGAGGCAATTCAATTCTGAAGGTTCTGAATTCAGGTTGCAAGTCTAGATCAGATTCCTAATAGTTTCCATTCTGTGAGTCTCTGCTTCCAAAAATCGAGGATTTTCTGTACCTGAAGTGGGTGACATCGGGCTTTAGAGAGGCACCTCTGAGCCCTTGTGAAAAACATGGGACCTGCAAGGAGCTTTTTAAAAAATTTTTTTCAGACAGGGTATCGCTCTATCCCCAAGGCTGTGGCTGCAGTGCAGGGGTGCAATCTCGGCTCACTGCAACTTCCGCATCCTGGGTTCAAGCCATTCTCCTGGCTCAGCCTCCTGAGTCGCTGGGATTAAGGCATCCACCACCATACCTGGCTAGTTTTTAGTACAAATCGGGTTCCACTATGTGGTCCAGGCTGGTCTTGGAACTCCTGACCTCAAGTGATCTGCCCGCCTCAGCCTCCCAAAGTGTGGGGATTACAGGCGTGAGCCACCATGCCCAGCCTGGAGCAGCTAGGTCTGAGCATCAACCCTAGCTCCTCCAGCCCGGAATGTGAGTCCTGGCTCCATCAGTGCCCCCTCACACTGTCTTCTCTGCCCTTACTTCCCCTTGATGCTCCCCACCCCCAGCTTCTCAATACACTACTCAGTCCCTCCACCTCTCTCCTCCCTTCCTTAACTAGACTGCCTTTTGCCCTCAATACGCCTGTCCAGTTTGCCAGCAGCCTTCTCATTGCTGAATCCAGTGTACCTTGCTCCCCAGGTGCTAGCCTCCCTGGCCCTCTGGAGGCATTTGGCCATGTGGCCCCTCCTTCTCCATGAAGTTCAGGCCAGAACTCCATGACGGAATCACACAGTCATTCACCAAGACTTAATCACTTCTTTGACTCTTGCCGAGATGAGAGGCTCCTAACAGGTCACTCATCAAGTCCCTCCCACTCTGTCCATCCTTTTCACCCCAGACCATAATAGACGTTTTTTGTTTGTTGTTGTTGTTTTTTTGAGACAGAGTCTGGCTCTGTTGCCCAGGCTGGAGTGCAAGCAATGTCTACTCACTGCAACTTCCGCCTCCCAGGTTCAAGGGATGCTCGTGCCTCAGCCTCCCAAGTAGCTGGGATTACAGGTGTGTGCTATCATGCCCAGCTAATTTTTTAATTTTTAGTAGAGGAAGACTTTGCCATGTTGGTCAGTCTGGTCTCCAACGCCTGACCTCAGATGATCCACCCACCTCGGCCTCCCAAAGTTCTGTGATTACAGGCATGAGCCACTGCACCACCCAAAAATGTACAGGTCATGTCCCTGCTCTAGAACCTTAGTAGCTTCCCATTGCTATGAGGTAAAGCCAGACTTTTTGGATGGGTATTTAAATCATCTGTGTTCCAGCTGGAGTAAGGCCCTGGAAAGAGCTTCTGGAGAAGGGTCTCAGGATTTGCAAGGCTAGAGGGAGGGGTCCTGCCTGGAGTCTGCTGAAAGGAGACTCAAGGCCTGGTTTCCCACTCCAGGAAACCCCAGTCCAAGACTAGGAATCCTTCTTTTCTTTTTTCTTTTTTCTTTTTTTTGAGACAGAGTCTCCCTCTGTTGCCCAGGCTAGAGTGCAGTGGTGCCATCTCGGCTCACTGCAACCTCCACCTCCTGGGTTCAAGTGATTCTCCTGCTTCAGCCTCCCGAGTAGCTGGGATTACATACACCTGCCACCACACCTGGCTAATTTTTGTATTTTTAATTTTTGAGACGAAGTTGTGTCTTGCTGCCCAGGCTGGAGTGCAATGGCTTGATCTCGGCCCCCTGCAACCTCCGCCTCCTGGGTGATTCTTCTCTCAAGAGATTCTCCTGCCTCAGTCTCCCAAGTAGCTGGGATTATGGCATGTGCCACCGCGCCTGGTTAATTTTGTATTTTTAGTAGAGACAGGTTTTCTCCATGTTGGTCAGGCTGGTCTCAAACTCCCGACCTCAGGTGATCCACCCACCTTGGCCTCCCAAAGTGCTGGGATTACAGACATGAGCCACTGCACCCAGCCTAATCTTTGTATTTTAGTAGAGATGGGATTTTACCATCTTGGCTAGGCTGGGCTTGAACTCCTGACCTCGTGATCCACTCACCTCAGCCTCCCAAAGTGCTAGGATTACATTCATAAACCACTGCGCCTGTCTTTTTTTTTTTTTTTTTTTTGAGACAGAGTCTCATTCTGTTGTCCAGGCTGGAGTGCAGTTGCACCATCTTGGCTCATTTCAACCTCTGCCTCACAGGTTCAAGCGATTCTCCTGCCTCAGCCTCCAGAGTAGCTGGGATTACAGGTGCCCGCCACCATGCCCAGCTGTTTTGTATTTTAGTAGAGAAGAGGTTTCACCATGTTGGCCAGGCTGGTTTCGAATTCCTGGCCTCAAGTGATCTGCCTGCCTCAGCCTCTCAAAGTGCTGGGATTACAGGCGTGAGCCACCATGCCCAGCCTAGAAACCCTTTCTAAACATGAATTGAAGCAAGGAGGGGCAGGGATAGGGGGTGGAGTCATCAGGCTGGGCCACAGGAGGTGGGAGTGCCAGGGATTGGCTGGGCCCTGGCCAGAGAGGGGTTAACTACAAAGCAAATCACAGAGAGCGCGATCAATGGGTTACTCGCTGCAGAGAGAGGAAAAGGCAGCAGCAACGCAGAGAGGCAGAGAAGAGCCGAGCAGAAAAGCCTGCCACCTGGGGGAAATCAGAGACTGAGGAGGAAGTGGCCAGTGGCTACTCTAGAGGGAGTGCCTAACTCCACTCAGCAGAGGGGGCAGAGGAGAGGAGGGGCCTTAAAGGCGAAGGGGGAGAAGTAGAAGGCAGATCAGTACCTGCAGGGAGGAACCGAGGGGCAGCTGCTGCACCAGAAGGCCCACCCAGCCTGGCCGTTCCACCCAGGATCAAGCCCACTGCCCAGGGTGGAGGTGGGTATTGCCCGTCCTGGGCTTCGGGGACCTATCGCATGCTGGGTGCTGGGGTGGGGGCAGACATTGCCTTTCTTGCCTCCTCCCTGCCTGGCCCCCCTTTCCCCTCATTTGTCCCATCACCCCAGTGGTCCCAAGCCTGCAAGGGGATCCACAGGTAGTAGGAGACGTGGGCTGTAGAGTGGGACGGGGTGAGCATGGGCGCTGTGTGCACACACACATCCACGCACACGCACACAGGTTGTCAGAGGAACCACCTGTTACAGGTTCTAAGATGAGCACTCTAGCTTAGGAGGCGAGATACCAGGGTGGCAACAGCCCCAGAGCTGCCATTCCAAGTGTGATATTAGCCTCCCATGTCCTCTGTCTGAGCCTCGATGTCCCTATGTGCAGAGAAGGAGCAGTGACCTACATGATCTTCCCAGTTTTGCCATTGTGTTGATCTCACTATACTAGAGTCTCCGATGACTCAGGGATGTTACCCATGTTTTGCTGAGACTACAGCCTGTAGCCAGAGAAAACCCTGAACCCGTGTCCCAGGGTCTCCCCAGAGCTTCAGATCCTCATTGAGAAGGAAATATACCAGCTTCTGGGGTTGGCCCCTCCCCCATTGCCATGTCTTCATCCTACCTTGCTTGTGCCTTAGCCAGCTTCGTGGGTTGAAAGTGTCCCTCAAATACCTCGGCAGCCCTCCAGGCAGGACTCTAGGGGTGATCTTTAGGAACTCCCACCCCTTGAACGCTATGAGCTTGCTCACACAGTGGGACTCAGTGATGACTTTGCCTTTGCCCTCCCCTCCTCCATCTCCCATGAGCTTCCCGCAAAGAACACCTGAACAGACCCATGCGGGGGGAGCTGGACCCCAGGGTCAAGCAACCAGGACTGGGGGCTCTTGCCTGAGGACCCCAGCTTCTCTTCCCCAGGTGCCCGTCTGATGGGGAGAGATGGCTGATGCCCAGAACATTTCACTGGACAGCCCCGGGAGCGTGGGTGCCATAGCAGTGCCTGTGGTCTTTGCCTTCATCTTCCTGCTGGGCACAGCGGGCAATGGGCTGGTGCTGGCCGTGCTCCTGCAGCCTGGCCCGAGTGCCTGGCAGGAGCCTGGCAGCACCACGGATCTGTTCATCCTCAACCTGGCGGTGGCTGACCTCTGCTTCATCCTGTGCTGCGTGCCCTTCCAGGCCGCCATCTACACGCTGGACGCCTGGCTCTTCGGGGCCCTCGTCTGCAAGGCTGTGCACCTGCTCATCTACCTCACCATGTACGCCAGCAGTTTCACGCTGGCTGCTGTCTCAGTGGACAGGTGCGCTGTGCCTGGGGCCTGGCGGGGCTGGGCTGCGGGGGGTTGGGGGCGACGATCTGAAAAGATCCTCGTTGGCCTTAGGAAGGAGAGAGTGGGGGACCAGAAAGGAGGTGGGAGGGAGGGAAGAAAAGCTCCCTGGCCTCTGGCAAGCAGCCTCTGGGCACCTGCACAGCATGACTGAGGGACTGCTCTGCCTTCCCCTTCCTCCACTGTGAGCTTCCAGAGGATGTCTCTGAGTCTCAAGTGGGAGCCCAGGGTCTGGCACATAGCAAGTACTCTGTAAGCGTGAAATGAATGGCAAAAGAAGCTCACGAATGCGTTCATCAGTTTTTGTTTTTGTTTTTTGAGACGGAATTTTGCTCTTGTTGCCCAGGCTGGAGTGCAGTGGCGTTATCTTGGCCCACCGCAACCTCTGCCTCCCGGGTTCAAGTGATTCTCCTGCCTCAGCCTCCTGAAGAGCTGGGATTACAGGCGCCTGCCACCAGCCTGGCTAATTTTTTTTGTATTTTTAGTAGAGATGAGGTTTCGCCATGTTGGCCAGGCTGGTCTCGAAACTGATCTCAGGTGATTGGACTGCAACAGCGTTCCAAGTGCTGGGACTACAGGCATGAGCCGCCTCCCTCCCCACCCCCACCCCCACCCCAGCTATATTCTAACTGCCTGCACCTGGTCCAGCTGTGCACACACTTGCTTCCACCGCTTGAAACTTGGGGTCAAATCCAGACTCACTCCCTAGCTGACGATCTTGGGCAACTCACTTCTCTCTGGGCCTCATTTGACGCATCCATAAAATAATTCTAGAAATAACACCTCACCGGGATCTGGCCCTTGCTAGGTGCCAGGTACTGCTCTAAGCACCTGTGCGTTCACACCCTTAATCCCCGCCACCTTCCCCACGGTTGAGAGGAAGCGCACCTGGCGGTAGGCTCCGGCGCTGGGCGTGGCGTGGGCCCGGGCTGAAGAGCGCACGGCCGCCGCGCTCACCCGGCTTCCTCCGCAGGTACTTAGCCGTGCGGCACCCACTGCGCTCGCGGGCCCTGCGCACACCACGCAACGCCCGCGCCGCGGTGGGGCTGGTGTGGCTCCTGGCAGCGCTCTTCTCGGCGCCCTACCTCAGCTACTACAGCACCGTGCGCTATGGAGCGCTGGAGCTCTGCGTGCCCGCCTGGGAGGACGCGCGCCGCCGCGCCCTGGACGTGGCCACCTTCGCCGCCGGCTACCTGCTGCCCGTGACCGTGGTGAGTCTGGCCTACGGGCGCACCCTGCGCTTCCTGTGGGCCTCCGTGGGACCCGCGGGTGCGGCAGCAGCCGAGGCGCGGCGGAGGGCGACGGGCCGCGCGGGGCGTGCCATGCTGGCGGTGGCCGCGCTCTACGCGCTTTGCTGGGGCCCGCACCACGCGCTCATCCTGTGCTTCTGGTACGGCCGCTTCGCCTTCAGCCCGGCCACCTACGCCTGCCGCCTGGCCTCTCACTGCCTGGCCTACGCCAACTCCTGCCTCAACCCGCTCGTCTACGCGCTCGCCTCGCGCCACTTCCGCGCGCGCTTCCGCCGCCTGTGGTCTTGCGGCCGCCGACGCCACCACCGCGCCCGCCGCGCCCTCCGTCGCGTCCGCCCCGTGTCCTCGGGCCCCGTCGGCTGCCCCGGAGATGCCCGGCCTCGCGGGAGGCTGCTGGTGGGCGGCGTCTGGGGTCCGGAGCCCAGGGAGGGACCCGCCCGCGACGGAGAGGCTGCCCGAGGGCCGGAATAAACACTGCCGTCTGGACTCTGCTGGTGTCGGTCTGTCTCACTTCCCTTCTCCGAGGGCGGGACGCCACCAGGCTAGGGATGGGGCAACGCCACCAGCTCTCTGAGGAGCGTTGAATGGAGCGATTTGTCCCCGCTCCATGGTGGACAAGTGATCGTGGGCAGCTGAGCGGACACCCCTGGATGTCAAAATAGCACAGCCCTCAGAGCCTGCCTGTAGCCAGCCTGGCAGTCCCTCTGCTCATCCTTCCAATTGGGTGACACCTTCTAGGCCGTGCTTCCTCCACCACCTCTTACCCACCCACTTCTTGGTTCCAAGCCCAGTCCTTTTTAATAACAACAAGTACTTTGGCTGATATTTAACTGAGACCACACGTGCTATGTCAAAACAGCTTTGCAAAGTAAATATAATTAGCCCTACTTATTTTTTTTTTATTATTATTTTTTATTTTTATTTTTTTAAGACGGAGTTTCGCTCTTGTTACCCAGGCTGGAGTGCAATGGCGCGATCTCGGCTCACCGCAACCTCCGCCTCCTGGGTTCAGGCAATTCTCCTGCCTCAGCCTCCTGAGTAGCTGGGATTACAGGCACGAGCCACCACGCCCAGCTATTTTTTTGTATTTTTAGTAGAGACGGGGTTTCACCATGTTGACCAAGATGGTCTCGATCTCTCGACCTCGTGATCCACCCGCCTCGGCCTCCCAAAGTGCTGGGATTACAGGCTTGAGCCACCGCGCCCAGCAGCCCTACTTATTTTTTAAATAGAGGGAGTCTTCTCTGTCGCCCAGGCTGGAGTGCGGCATGATCTCAGCTCACTGCAACCTCCACCCCCGCCCCACCCTTTCAAGCAATTCTCTTAGCTCAGCCTCCAGAGTAGCTGAGATTACAGGGTCTCGGGCCTCAGCCCAGAAGCTAACATTAGTGGCAGGTGGGTGGATCTGAAATCACTGAGACTGATTTATTGGTTAATTATTGTTTTTTTTTTTTAACCACCACAGACTTCCACAGCTGTGTGTGGCGCTAGGGAGGGAAGGCCACTGGGAGGCCAGCTGGAGGCCAAGCATGGCTCAAGTCAGAGCCAGGGGCACCAAATGGGGTAACACAAGGCGTTTGGAACAGGGAATGCTGCACCCATGACTTTATGCCCAGGGGAAGCCCATCTGGACTGGCTGGCCTGAGCCCTGGAACAGAAGTCTGTTAAGGAAGAGGTCTGAGGTTTTCAGGGCACCCAGTCAGGTGTGGGGAGATACAGTTTTTGAAAAGAATCGGGAAGAACCAAGAAAAACCGTGGAAGCTGAGAGGAGATGCCCCAGAGGTGGAGAAGGCACTAAATAGAAAAAGGCTGGGCTTGGTGGCTCATGCTTGTAATCCCAGCACTTTGGGAGGCCGAGGCGGGTGGATCATGAGGTCAGGAGTTCAAGACCAGCCTGGTCAACATGGTGAAACCCCGTATCTCCAAAAAATACAAAACTTAGCGGGGCATGGGGGCAGGTGCCTGTAATCCCAGCTACTCGGGAGGCTGAGACAGGAGAATTGCTTGAACTGGGGGGGGGGGGGGGGCGGGGGTGGAGGTTGCAGTGAGCTGAGATCACACCACTGTACTCCAGCCTGGGCAGCAAAGAAGACTCCATCTTTTTTTTTTTTTCTTGAGATGGAGTTTCGCTCTTGTTACCTAGGCTGGAGTGCAATGGCGCGATCTCAGCTCACCGCAACCTCCGTCTCCTGGGTTCAGGCAATTCTCCTGCCTCAGCCTCCCGAGTAGCTGGGATTACAGGCACGTGCCACCATGCCCAGCTAATTTTTTGTATCTTTAGTAGAGACGGGGTTTCACCATGTTGACCAGGATGGTCTCGATCTCTCGACCTCATGATCCACCCGCCTCGGCCTCCCAAAGTGCTGGGATTACAGGCTTGAGCCACCGCGCCCGGCAACTCCATCTCTTTTTAAAAAAAAAAAAAAAAAAAAAAATTAATCGTATTTACTTTGCAAAGCTGTTTTGACAAAGAATGTAGCATGTGTGAGACATATAGTTCCTGCCTAATAAATACTATTTTTAAAGACAAGGTCTTGCTTTGCTGCCTAGGCTGGAATGCAGTGGCATGAGCCAAGATCGCAGCAGGCTGAGTGACAAAGTGAGACCCTGTCTCAAAACAAAACCCACCAACCAATGGGGACAGTCCAGGCCCACACATAGGAGGCATGTAACTGACACCTGATACATGAGAACTCAGGGGCCAGAACCCATGACCCTTCCCTTCCTTCTTCCCTGAGCACCCATCCTAAGTGAGGCTTCAGGATCAGGGATGCCGTGAGTCCAACATGGTCACTGCCTGCCAGGAGCTGTCAGTCTGGCTGGAGAGCCAGATACATAATAAAAAAGGACAGTACTGAGGCAGAACACATGCAATTCAGAAAGGCCACAGAGGGAGCAGCTCCTGCCTTCTGGGCAATCCCAGCAGGACCCCCAGAGGTGACTTTTTTTTTTTTTTTTTTTGACACTCTTGCTCTGTTGCCCAGCCTGGAGTGCAGTGACGCAATCGCTGCAACCTCCACCTCCCTGGTTCAAGCAATTCCCCTGCCTCAGCCTCCTTAATAGCTGGGATTACAGACACATGCCACCACACCTGGCTTTTCTTTTTTTTTTTTTTGTATTTTTTTTTAGTAGAGACAGGGTTTCACCATGTTAGCTAGACTAGTCTTGAACTCCTGACCTCAGGCAATCCACCAGCCTTACCTCCCAAAGTGTTGGGACTACAGGCGTGAGCCATCACGCCCAGCCCAGAGGTGAGATTTGACGTGGATTTTCCTGGAGAAACGTGGGGAGGGGCCTGCCAGGTGGAGTGACAGCCTGTGCAAGGCAGGGGACGTGCAGGGCAGTGAGTGGCTCCTGCATCTGAAGCAGGGAGAGGCTGGGGCAGGGGACGCCTGGAGGGCAGGAGCTTCATCCTTCAAGCAGACTGTGATGCCACTGAAGGTTTTCAGGAAAGGAGGAGCCCAATCAGATGTGCAGTTCAGAAAGCCCCGGAACTGCTGTGTAGAGGCTGGGATGGAGGCCTAGACGTGGCAGAGGACTCAGATCAGGTGGGTCCTCCTGGGCCCTTCTTGGAAGTGAGGACACCTGTAAAGTGGCTGCTCCATGAGCTTTGTTGAAGAAAGCCAACGAGGCCTGGTGTAGGACTGGGAAGATATTTTTGCTGTGGATTTGGCAGGAAGCTGGATGGCCTGCTGCTGGGCTTGGGCTTGTTTCCCAAGGCTCAGAGGTTTGCTTCGGGGGGCTAATGAAACACTTGGAAGAACAGATGGTCGTAATAATAATAATTTGGGAGATAACTGTATGTCCAGTAGAGCCCAAGGCAGGCAAGAGGGTCAGAGGAGAGGCTGAACGATCCCTGGCCACTGCCCCCCAGGGCCTAAGAGAACTCTCATGATCTGAGCCCTGTGCCAAGTGTAGGGCTGCACCTGGGGAAGGCCTGGGGATCTGGAAAGGCACTTTTCTTAGTTGGAAGGTTTGGATTCTACAACCCTCTCACCTTCCTGTTTGCGCAAACCTCTTAAGAGGCCTGGCTGGGCGTGGTGGCTCATGCCTGTAATCTCAGCACTTTGGGAGGCTAAGGCGGGTGGCTCATTGATATCGGAAGTTCAAGACCTGGTTAACATGGTAAAAACCTGTCTCTACTAAAAATACAAAAATTAGGCAGGCATGGTGGCGGGTGCCTGTAACCTCAGCTATAAGTAGCTAAGGCAGGAGAATTGCCTGAACCTGGGAGGCAGAGGTTGCAGTGAGCTGAGCTCTTGCCATTGCACTCCAGCCTGGTCGACAAGAGTGGAACTCTGTCTCAGAAAAAAAGGAGAGGTCTGCAGCATTCATGTGTGAGCGCTTGCTAGGTCCAGGGCTCTTCTGCAGACAAGAAAGAGAACAGGAGACAGAGGAGCCTAGAGGAGAAGCCCTAACCCAGTGTGGGGAGCCAGAAAAGACTTTCCATGGGAGTTGGAGCCAAAGCCAAGTCCTGAGGCAGGAATCTCCCAGGGCAGGTGGCGAAGGGAGAGACAGGAACACATGTGCGGGTCATGTGCCCAGGGACCGAGGCAGGACCCGCTGCAGCCCCAGCAGGGAGGTGGGAGAGGTGGGTGGAGTCCTGAAGGATTCTGTAATCCTGTCTGAAACTGAGACTACTTTGTCACAAGGGCAAAGGGAAGCCACTGAAAGGTTTTGAACAAAAGGGTGACTTAATAAGATTTACTCTTTAGGAGGCTGGGTGCTGTGGCTCACACCTGTAATCGTAGCACTTTGGTGGGCCAAGTTGGATCACCTGCGGTCAGAAGTTCAAGACCACTAGCCTGGTCAACATGGTGAAACCCTATCTCTACCTAAAATACAAAAATAGCCAGGCATGGTGGCATGCACCTGTAATCCCAGCTATTCGGGAGGCTGAGGCAGGGGAATTGCTTGAACCCGGGAGGTGGAGGTTGCAATAAGCTGAGATTGCACCACTGCACTCCAACCTGGGTTGACAGAGCGAGACTCTGTCTCAAAAAAAAAAAAAAAAAAATTATTCTTTAGGGAGCTCTTTCTGGCTGCCCAGGCAGGCTTTCACGGGGAGGAAGTACAGAGTGTGCTGACTGGGGCAGAGAGACCGGTCAGGAGGCTGGTGTAGGAATCCAGAGATGAAGACATCAGGGCATTGGAAGTGGTGGGGAGACATGGGCAGATGAGTCAGCCACTTAAGATGTACAATTGTGGCCGGGTGCGGTGGCTCACGTCTGTAATACTAGCACTTTGGGAGGCCGAGGTGGGTGGATCACCAGAGGTCAGGCGTTCAAGACCAGCCTGGCCAACATGGTGAAACCCCATCTTAAAAAAAAAAAAATGTACAATTGCTAGGATTTGGTGACTGTTGGAGGGTAGGGAAGAGAGAGGTGTCCCAGATGACACTTCTGGCTTGGGCTATTGGGGGTGGCAGTGGGGATAACTGAGGGGGTCAGTTTTGGGCGTCATGGTGGGGGTGCCTACAGACTAGTG